CATGCACACACATACATATTCATATTTCTACAATAATTATATATACATACATTTATACATTATAGTATGTACTTATTACAAATCAGAGCAAATTTATGAAAAAAAATTTTTTGTTCTAAATTTTTTATGTTTTTTCGACTATTTTTTTTTTTTTTTTTTTTGAAGTTTGAAAATTGAATAATCAATAAATTTATAATATTATATTTATAAAAAATCAAAATATATTCCTCTTACTATCCTTGCTTTTTTCTTCTATTTAAATTAATAAAAATAATCATCATCAGTATTTTTATATTTTAATTTTTAATTACATATACATATAATAATATTTTTATAATGAAATTTTTGGTCTTGATTTTATTTTTGGTTTATTTTTATTTTGTGTTTTTGCTTCATGTTTTTTTCTTTATTTTGTTATTTTATCGTTTGTATTTGTTTAGCATGGAAGAGCGGACTCTTACAGAGTCGCGACTGTTATACCAACAGATGATGATAATTTTACAGCAGATGGTAAATATAAGGTAAGAATTTCATTTTCATAAATCAATACTATATCATTCATATATATCAAACATTTTAAAAGCATTTAAAGTTATGATTATGTAATACACATCAATACTAACTTATGTATATATTATTACAATTATATCAATACTAAATTATATAAATTTTATTACTAACTTATTGCTAAAATCTTAGCAAAAAATTTTTCATTTAAAAAATGATTTAACAATTAATTTAGAGTTAATATTTACTTGTTTTTTTATATACATATATATTGTTTTTTCTATTTTATTATATAGAAATATATAATACAAAATATATAATAATACTTTGAACAAAATTTTAATTAAAATTTATATTAAATAACAAATTCTACTGTGACGTAATAATTGTGAATTAATTTCAATGATGTTTTGATGAAGTAATTTATATCGTTAATAAAATGATATATAACAAAGTTTGTATATAAAGTGAAAAAGTCATATATATATATATATATATATATATATTTACAAAAACGGATATATAATGTAAAAATCGATATATATCATACCAAAATGGTATATGTCATAAAACAATGATATATATCGTAGAAAGTTGATATATATATGTTTTAAATAAAAAAGTGATATATTATTTCGTAAAAAAGTATATATATCGTATAAAGTATGCATAAAAAAATTTATTTATAACATTTTCTTTTGTTTATACCAACAATTTGCAATGAATTACGGTATATATCACAAAAACGTTCTTAATTTTTATATTTCAAATATAGCATAGAGATGTTATCAAAATATTGCATATTAAAATTATGAATTGATTTTTGAAATATGTGCTTCTGCTGTATATATAGGAAAATTTTTCATAGATTTTAATTAAACATCTTAATTTTATAAAATTGTTTATTTTTCTGTTTTTGTAATTTAAATATTATTCACTATTAAAAATTGATTATCTTGTCATAAAATAATTACTTAATAAAAATATTAATTGGTGACGTTTATTTATTTAAAATTATATTTATTCTATATTTATTTTCAATAAGGCAATTGACGTCATAATATAGCTGACGTTACAAATAAACATATATTTTATAAACTTTTTTAATTTAAACATTCATATATTAATATTGATATATATATATATATATATATCAACATTATATATATACACACATAAATATGTATATAGAATAGTGTAGGTTTTTTTTCACGTGTTGATCTATCCCATGTTTTCAAAGATCATTCTAAAAATATAAATATTTTAAGAAATTAGACAAATTACACATAATATATGTATTTTAGAATATTATATATAGTCTGGTTAAAATCAGTTTATATATTACTAGAATCTGTACATATACCTATGTATGTAGTTTATAGTAAACAAAAAAAAAAAAAAAATGAAAAATACTTTTGTACTATCAATATTGTGTAGGTACGTTAAAAGATCATACACAGATAAAAAAGAAATCGATTTTTCTTCTTATCAAAATTTTTTAGTGCATACACTGAAATATACTTTTTTATGAACAAGCTTGTCTATATAAATATATATATATATATATATATATATATATATAAGCTTCTCTATATATATATATGTATATAGACAAGCTTGTACATAAAAATATATATATATATATACGTAAATGTTATTTATATTGCATATATACTTTATTTAAAAATTCTGGCAAAAATCAAATTTTGCAAACTCAAACAAACAAACCGCAAATAGAAAAAAAAAATAATCTTTAACATTTATGTATAAATATTTATTTTCGTTGGTCTTTGGTCTTTGAATTTAAGAGTATATGATTTTTTTTTTTGCCTTTTTATTTTTTTTTTTTAAATAATTTTGCAATAATATTATTAAAATAGAAAATTTAGCGCGCGTATAAAATTCTACTAATTTTTATATTTAAACAATTTAAAAAAATTGTTTTAAAAGTGTATGACAACAGGGATTTTCGAAAAAGACTAAATAACAAAAATATTATAACTATATATATACATTTAAATATAATAAACTATAATTGTATTTTATTATATTGATGATTTTATAATAAGTAATATATAGATGTTTAAAATCAAATAAGATATTTGAATATTTTTAGGAGTACATTACTCCCCTCTTATTTCTTTTTCCTTGTTTTTTAATTGTACATTAGGAGTATATTTAGCTTTTTTGATGTTGTTTTTTGTTTTTCTTGTTTTTTGAAAATTTTCAATTACCTGAAATTAAAAATATTTTTATTTTTATGATTCTTTCTTTCTCTTTTGTACCACATACATTTCTATTTTATTATATTAAAAATTATATTTTGGTTTTGTCGAGAAAAATGTTTAAATAACATTAAATAAATAATTTGAAAATTATATACATATATAATATATGTATATATATATTTATATATGTATAATATGGACAAGTACAAAAAAATAATATATACATATAAATTTAATAAAACAAAAATTGTATGTACCAATGTATATAAAAATATATAAAATAGCTTAAATCTAAAATTAATATCAGACATTGGCGTATTTACATATTTTGATGAAGAGCGTTTAAAGAACTCAAAGAATATATAGGGGAAAATAAAAAAACAACAAAATAAAAAGAGAAAAGAACACACTTAAAAAAAAAATCTAAAAGTGTCGAGGTCAAATCAACTTCTTAAATCTAATAAGTTGTCTTAGTTACGATTTTTTTTTATTTTTTTTCTTTTTTTTTTATTTTGGTTTTTGCTTGTCTTTTATTATATATTCTTAATAATTTAAAGAATATTAAAAATTAAGACAAAAAAAAATGTTTATATTTTTATATACATATTTCGATTCGCGGTTATATTTGTATAGTTTATGTGCATATACTCGAATATATTAAAAAAAAAATAGAAAAAAATATAATTAAATAATAAAAATCATCATTGAAATTTATAATAAAAAAAAAATATTTTATAAATAAATTTTTGGTTACGATTTTGTTCAAAGTAGTATATTTTTTGTTTTTTTTTTTTCTTTACTAATTAAAGTATTAGTAAATATTTAACAATTAACACTAATTGATTGGGATTAATTTTGTTTTTTTTTTGCTAATTTTTTAAGTAACAAAAGTTAACATTTAAAAGATAATTGGGTAATTTAAGTCTAATTGTTGTTGGAAAAACATTATTAAGTCAACATCCTTTTATTTTTCCCTAAATAAAATTTATACAAATACGTTATAGTATTTTAATTTAAAAATACATAATTCAATTTCAACAGTTTAATATAAAAAACTAAAAATTTTTTATACAAAATTGAATTTTTATTTTAATATAAAAATAATTTAAATTAAATTATAAATTTGTTAATATTCTCGAGAAATTGTTGAGAAACGAAAATATTTATTGTGAAAACAATAAACTATAAAAATTCAAAATTATTTTCAAAACTTAGAAATTTCAATAAATTATTGAAATAGTTTTTGATTAATTATGAATTAAACAATTTAATAAAATTACAATTTTATTAATTGAGATTTTTAAAATTATCTTCACTATTTACCGTAATTCCATAATTACTTACGTTAAAGTACCGTACAAACAAAAAAATTTTTATGAAAAACTTAACATTCAATAAAGGTTATATTTGTTTTGGTTTTTTCTCATTTACATACAAATATATCAATAAAATCACATAATACACGAAATACTCGTATCACACACAATACATAAACATAACATTATAAATATAAAATTTGTTTTTCTTTTTCTTGTTCTTGCCAATATTTCATACCATTTTTATTATTTATTGGATATTATTGTGGTTTATGTTTCGTTTTTGCTTCTTTTTAAAAAGCGAAAATCATTTTTTTTTCGTGATTTAATAAAAATTACATAATGAATAAGGGTAAGTGCTGGTGGAGTACTAAATATATACACTAAGTAAAAGGTACATTAAATAAATTTAATATTTACGAGTATAATTAACAAATTATTTAAAATTTAGATAAGAAAAAATAAAATTTATTTTTAATTTAAGAGAACTAATGAATTTATTACATAAATTATATATATATTATAATTAATAAAAATAAAGTATTAACAAACTTATATATAACAATAAATAATAATTTTACTTTTAAGATAGTAAAATATATATAAAATAAATATAATCATGTAATATTTTAATTAATTAACATTGGAAGAAAAAATAAAATATAGTGATAATTTTAATGGTGAAAATTAAGAATTAATGGGTGTCAGATTTAAAAACAAAATATAGCTATTATATAATAAATTTGGGATTTATGCAATATCAAAATTAACAAATAACTGGGTATATATACAAATATATAAATATTATATGTATGTATATAAATATATATATTTTAAGTATACATATAAAATAAACTAATCTAAAGTAAATTAAAAAGTTAAAAAATATTTTACAAAAATTTAATAATTTTAATTTATTTTCTCTTTTTCACAAAAAAAAAAAATATAGTCAAAACGCAAAATGCCACCGAAAAAGATTGGAGGGAAGGGGAAGGAAAATTTGGATGATCTTAAACAGGAATTAGAAATCGATTATCATAAAATTACACCAGAAGAACTTTATCAAAGATTTCAAACACATCCAGAAAATGTAAGATATTTAATATATAGGATATTATATTTTATTTTAAATTAATTTATTTCATATCTTTGAGTTTGAAACTGCAGTAATAAAATTAGTATTTAAATTCAAATCTGAAAATAATTCACAAATTAATTTATTTGAGTTGAAATACTATATTTTTACATTTTTTTTAAACTTAAAGAATATTATTATAAAATATATGTATGTATAACTTAATTGCCTAAATTTACGGAATCAAATTTAAAATATTATTTTGAAATTTAAATATTTGTTTTTCTTTTCTTAATCTTTTTAGGGTCTAAGTCATGCAAAGGCCAAAGAAAATTTAGAACGTGATGGACCAAATGCATTAACACCACCAAAACAAACCCCAGAATGGGTTAAATTTTGTAAAAATTTATTCGGTGGTTTTGCCCTCCTGTTATGGATTGGCGCTGTTCTTTGTTTTATTGCCTATTCAATTCAAGCGAGTACAAGCGAAGAGCCATCCGATGATAATTTATATTTGGGTATTGTGCTTTCAGCTGTAGTTATAGTTACTGGTGTATTCTCATATTATCAGGTAAATATTTAAATATAAAAATCAATTTTATTTTTTATAACATTAATATAACATTAATAGATAAAAAACAAGAAAATTGTTTCTAAAATTCATTTCTAATTAAAATATTATAGAATTTTTAATGTTTTCATTTTTTAGGATGTCATAAATTTATGTACATATAAAAATATTGTAATTTACATTCAATGAGTTTTTGTTTTTCGTTTTTTATAGTAAAAGGTCAATATTATTTTTCCTATTAATGTAGAAAATATTTCATTATAAAATTCAATTTTGTTGAATTTAAAAGTCACTAACTTTAGTTATTTATAATTTAATATTTTTTTTTAAATTTTTAAAATTTTGATGCAATTAATAGTCGTAGAATTTTAAAAATAATTATCAATTAAGTAGTTAATTTCAAATTTATGTATAAAAGTCTTCATATTGAAGATATTATATGAATTTTTGATATTTAAAGCAATTTTAACATTAAAGTAAACACACAATATTTTTTTATTTCAATATTTATTTAAAATATTTTCTTTTAACTTTGTTAGTAAATAAATATAAATTATGATATACATACATAGATATGCTTTTATTATTTTTAGTTCCCATCACTATAAAAATCTCTTTCACATTTTTGGAATTATTATTTTAATCCTTTAGCAGTTTTTTTTTATAAAGAAAATGATTCTAATAAAAAATATTATTATTTTAGGAATCAAAAAGTTCCAAAATCATGGAATCATTTAAAAATATGGTGCCCCAATTTGCGACTGTGATTCGTGAAGGTGAAAAACTAACATTACGTGCAGAAGATTTAGTGCTGGGTGATGTAGTTGAAGTTAAATTTGGTGACAGAATTCCGGCTGATATTCGTATTATTGAAGCTAGAAATTTCAAAGTAAGAATTAATATAAATTTTAATATTTGATTTACTTTTTAATATTTGACTAATACGTTTTATTAATAAAATTTTAGGTAGACAACTCATCACTGACTGGTGAATCTGAACCACAATCAAGAGGACCTGAATTTACTCACGAAAATCCATTGGAAACAAAGAATTTAGCCTTTTTCTCAACGAATGCTGTTGAAGGTACTGCGAAAGGTGTTGTTATAAGCTGCGGTGATCACACTGTTATGGGTCGTATTGCTGGTTTAGCATCTGGTTTAGATACTGGTGAAACACCAATCGCCAAGGAAATTCATCATTTCATTCATTTAATCACTGGTGTTGCTGTATTTTTGGGTGTAACATTCTTCGTAATTGCCTTTATATTAGGTTACCATTGGTTGGATGCTGTTATTTTCTTAATTGGTATTATTGTTGCTAACGTACCTGAAGGTCTTTTGGCCACTGTTACCGTATGCTTAACATTGACGGCAAAACGTATGGCATCTAAAAATTGTTTAGTTAAAAATTTAGAAGCTGTAGAAACTCTTGGTTCAACATCGACAATTTGTTCAGATAAAACTGGTACATTGACACAAAATCGTATGACTGTAGCCCATATGTGGTTTGATAACCAAATTATTGAAGCTGATACAACTGAGGATCAATCTGGCGTTCAATATGATCGCACTAGCCCAGGATTTAAAGCTCTCTCGCGTATTGCGACATTATGTAATCGAGCTGAATTCAAAGGTGGTCAAGAAGGTGTTTCAATATTGAAAAAAGAAGTTAGTGGTGATGCATCAGAAGCTGCTTTACTTAAATGTATGGAATTGGCATTAGGAAATGTTATGGAAATCAGAAAGAGAAACCGAAAAGTAGCTGAAATTCCATTCAACTCAACGAATAAATATCAAGTATCAATCCATGAAACTGAAGATCCTAGTGATCCACGTTACTTGCTTGTAATGAAGGGGGCCCCAGAAAGAATTTTGGAACGTTGTGGTACAATATTCATTAATGGAAAAGAAAAAGTCTTAGATGAAGAAATGAAGGAAGCTTTCAATAATGCATATTTAGAATTAGGTGGACTCGGAGAGCGTGTTTTGGGCTTCTGCGATTACATGTTGCCATCGGACAAATATCCAACTGGTTTTAAATTTAATACTGATGATGTTAACTTCCCCATCGATAATTTACGTTTTGTTGGTCTAATGTCCATGATTGATCCTCCCAGGGCTGCTGTACCAGATGCCGTTGCCAAATGTCGTTCAGCCGGTATTAAAGTTATTATGGTTACTGGTGATCATCCAATTACTGCTAAAGCCATTGCAAAATCTGTCGGTATTATTTCTGAAGGTAATGAAACAGTTGAAGACATTGCTCAACGTTTGAATATCCCAGTATCTGAAGTAAACCCACGTGAAGCTAAAGCCGCTGTCGTACATGGTGCTGAATTGCGTGAAGTATCGTCTGATCAATTAGATGAAATTTTACGATATCATACTGAAATTGTATTTGCTCGTACATCACCGCAACAAAAATTGATTATTGTTGAAGGTTGTCAAAGAATGGGTGCAATTGTCGCTGTAACTGGTGATGGTGTAAATGATTCTCCTGCTTTGAAAAAAGCTGATATTGGTGTAGCTATGGGTATCGCTGGCTCTGATGTATCAAAACAGGTAAATGTCTAGTAATCATGATATAATTAATTCTTTTCGTATTTTGAAAAGTATTTTCAAAATTCGTAACAACTTTGTTCTTTAGGCTGCTGACATGATTCTCCTTGATGATAACTTTGCTTCAATTGTCACAGGTGTTGAAGAAGGACGTTTAATTTTTGATAACTTGAAAAAATCAATTGCATACACCTTAACTTCTAACATTCCTGAAATTTCACCTTTCTTGGCTTTCATTTTATGTGATATTCCATTGCCTTTGGGAACTGTGACAATTTTGTGTATCGATTTAGGAACAGACATGGTAAGATTAATTAAAATGAGCTATAAACTTATCATTTGTAACAAAAAAAATAAATTTAGAAAATTTTTTAAATTTGTTAAAAAAATTTATTTTAAATACAATATATTAATTTACTTAATCATTAAATGAATTTGGTAGGTAAAAATATAGGATTTTATTTTTTTGCTATGGCTAAACAATATAAACAAATTATTAATAAAAAAAAAAGTTTAATATTAAATATTATATTTTAAGATGGTAGGATATTTGAAAAATAATTAGAAATAATTAGATATGAAAATTCTTATTTCATAATTACACTTTTTCAAGATACCAGCTATTTCTCTTGCTTATGAATATGCTGAATCAGATATTATGAAACGACAACCAAGAAATCCAGCTTATGATAGATTAGTAAATGAAAGGTAAAGATTACAAGTGAAAAAAGAACAAAAATCAAAAAAGAAAAATATAGGTTGTATTTTTGAAGCCGTAGATATCTATCATACTGACAGTAGTGTCACAAATTTCGAGTTATAAATGAGAGCTAAAAAGAAATACATACATCCTTTTTTTTGCTAAACAGGTTTTATAATAACATTAAGGGCTAGAAATGTAATTTTCTTCAAGATTCTTCAGTATACTTATAAATTTGAATTTAAGAGAATTTTGAAGGATTTTTGTAATTTCTTTATTTTTTTTCTCTTATGTTTTCTTTTAAAAACAACATCCTTTTTTTTTTTTGTTTTTGTTATAATAAATATCCTTCAAGTGTATTGAAATTTTTTTTCTTATAAAACATACCATGCATCATAACGTAAAATGTGCTAAAGTTTAAAAACGAAACAACAATCTAATAAGTAAAATATGAATTTATTTACCATATATTTCTATTTATTTATAATTTTAGAGTTATTTTATTTACATTTAAATAATAAAGCAATAATTTTAAATATAAGACAAGATACAATAAGAAAAAAGCTAATTAAAAATATTTGTAACTTAAAAAATAATTGACAAAAAAATGAAAATTTAGGTACCAGCTATTTCTTTGGCTTATGAAGCTGCTGAAGCTGATATTATGAAACGTCCACCTAGAGATCCTTTCAACGATAAATTAGTAAATTCAAGGTGCAAAACTTATATTTTTTCTTTTTATTTTTTAATCATTTTTAAGAAATCTTGTTTTTTTTTTCTAATTCGTTTTCATTTTGATATTAATATTTTGATTTTTCATTCGTTTTTTAACCAATTTTAATTCACAAATCCATAATCCCATGTGATTGATATGCAACAAAAATAAAATACAAAATGTTCATCCCAAAATAATTTTTATATAATATGCAATAATTGTACTAATATTTTTTTTTTTATAAAAGTTGTTATAAGTTTATATACATATTTTTTTTGCAAAATTTTTTTCAATTGAAGTTTTATGGTTTAATATTAATTTAAATTACTAAAACAAAATCAAAGAATTATAATTTTTTTTTTTTTTTTGATTTTTCAAAAATTAATATGGGCATTTAAACGCATTATTATGGTTTTCAGTTTTTATTATTATTAATATTAATTAATATGCGCTTTATTTTTAATTCTTAACAAAAAGCGAATGGCCAATAATAATAAATTTTCAATAATAAATTTCATTTATATAATCAAGATCATCGATTATTTTATAAATAAAATATAAGAAACCATTCATATTATATTAAATAATATAAAATTTATTACTAACTTATTGGCATGATAAATTTCAACAATTTTATCCTGATAAGCCAATTTTGTAAACTAACATCTATTTTCTTAAGTTAATTAAATAATATTCAATTAAGTCGGATTCGTTTTTTTTTTATAACAATAATAATATTAACAATATTGGTGAAGAATTATTTTTAATAATTATTAAATAAATTTAAGTCAATATGCTCAAAGAAAAAAATAACACTTCAGCTATATAATATAAATGATCACTGTTACATTAAGCATACACATATTAAATTTAAATTTTAAAATATTTAAGAATATATGTATATTCTAATGTTAGAATTTTAAGGATATAAAATAACTAGTACCATATTGTTTTTAAACTTCAAATTACAGTATTTTTTGAAGATAAGATTGCCCACGAAGACGAATTTTGAGGAATATTAAAAATATAAAAGAATTTTCTTTTATATTATAATAAATTTATTGTTATATACATTTAATTGTTTAAAGTTTTTCGCTGAAAATTTTCTTTCTATAAGCAGAAACCCTTGAAAATGTAAATGTTTTCATGTAAATATTCAAGCTTTAAACAATTTTTACTTTGCTAAAATTCTTACGCTAACTGACTAGTTAATAAATTTAGAGTTTAATTAATTGTCTTCAAAACTACAATAAATAAATAAAATAACAGAAGTTTCGGTGACTTTTTGTTTAGAATTTATGCTTTTTTTTTTTATAATTATCGTAATTTTAATTGAGTTCCTATTGTTTCCCTCATTTTTGTTTTTATAAAACGTATTCGAAAAAAACATAATTTTTGTTTTAATTATGAAAATAAAAATTCATATTTTTATTTTGTGTAATTATTTTTTTTTCCTTTATTATTTTTTTTTGTATAAAATACACAATGTGAATATATTCAATTCATATTTTAAAAATACATAATTTTTTAATTTTGTTGTTTTTTCTTTACTCATTTCAAATTGTAATGTGTATCGTGTATATATACACCAAGCGACAAAATAGAAACCTTACAAAAAACTAAATAAAAATAATCAAAAATTATTAAAATGCAAAAATTTATTACTATCAGAAATTAAATAAATAAAAAACAAAAATATAAATATATGAATAAGCAACAAACAAAAATAAAATATTAAATCAAGTTTGGGATAAAAATTTGTTTATGTTCTCACATTTATATTTTTCTTGTAATGTGTATTTTTCAATTAATTTTCTTTTTTTTTTTTTAATAATAACATTATAATTTATTTTTATAATTTAAAAAAAAATAATTTTTTTTTTTTATTTTTATAATTTCGTGTCATTTTCATAAACTAAAAACAAATTGTATTAAAATTGTTACAAAATAAGCAATTTTAAATTATGCTAACGTTCAGCGAGAAATTTTGAACGTCGATTTTTTTTTATATTGAAGTGAAAACAATCTATAAAAGAAAAAAACTTAAAAGACAAATTGATCTCTTTCACTGGCATTTTTTCTGTATATATTTAATTTAAATAAAATGTATAGATGAAAATTCGCTGAAATTTATTTCTCTACTACAAAAAATTTGTGTTTTACAATTAAGTAAAAGAAAACGTTTTTTTTTTTTATTAAGTATTATTATTATCATTATTATTGTTATTATTATTATAATTATTATTTTTTATTTTAATGTTGTGTAGTTTTTAATTAAAAAAATTTTTTATTGAAAAAAAAACTGGGATAATGTAAAAATATTAAATAAAATTATTATGTATAATATGTACAAATATATTAGGTATATATATCACATATTATATAATAATAAAATACATACTAATATATAATATATAATACGATATAGAAATAAAATGTTTATATAACATACTAAATAAACATTTTAAATTTTTTAGGGTAATTTCTCGAATTTTTAATATTTATTTAATTATTGCGCGTCTTATAATGATTTTATTTAAATTTATTTAAATTTAATTAAATTAGCAAATTTCTGAGTATAAGTAAAGATAAAATAAATTTTAAATATTAAATTATTTTAATTAAATTTAAAATATTTTTTTTTTTTTTTGAAAAATAAATTTGAAGTTCAATTTGGCAAATAACACATGGCTATGATCATACGGTACTGATGTAGAATAAAACTACAATTTTCTAATTATAATTTCTTATAATATGGCTATAGTAGTATATGATAAAGCCAGTATAACTTAAGTTTTTGAATAGTATAGCTTATTTGCAATTATAGTTTATTTATAAAGTAATCATTTAAGATTGTTTTACTTTGACTTCTTCAACAGTGGAAATCTGTTCTATTCATAAAAAGTCAAAGGCTAAATAATTTCAATAATTTCATACCGAAATTTTTTAAATAATCTTATACTCCTACTATGATATACATATTAAGTTCTACAAATAAAAGTATGGAAAATATTTAAGAAATATTTTATTTTATCTTTTCTTTTTTTGTTCCATTTTAAAAATTTTTATTTTCAAGTTAAAAACACAATTTAAACGCGTTTCGTTTAAAAAAAATATTTACATGAATCAAATAATATTGAATCTACGACATTATTATTTTGATTTTAAAATTATAATCAAAGTGTATTTTTTCGTTTGTATAAAATAAATGAACACATTTTAATATACTTGAGTGTTTAGTTAAATTTTATTTAAGCACATAAAATATAAATAATATTATGTGTTTTGTTTTCTTTTTTTTTTATAATCGAAAATAATATTTTACTCACGTTGTACAAAAATAAATGTATATATATTTATTTTATTATATTATATATATATATATATATATTATTTTATATATTTATGTTTACGATATATGAAAATATTGAATATTTATTACAAATAATTTATAACGAATAACAAAGTAAATCTGTTAGGATATAGAAATAATTAAGAAAACAAAAAACGACCAATTTATTTTCCAATTGCCTTAACTTTGAGGGTGCAAATAAATTAAGTTTTTAGGAGAATCTGTTTAATATTCTAAATTGTAAATTTTTTTTTGTTAATATTAAATTTATATATATATATATATTTATTTTCTTAATTGGAGGAATAATATAAATATAGAAAATTGTTTTTTTTTCTTCGGTTAAGTCACATTTTTTTTTGTGTTATTGTTTTTTTTTTTTTTTTTGTATCTTTATTTTGTTTTTAAATTCTTTGTTGTATTATATGTATATTGTATTATACATAAAATAGGTACCCGCTATCTCGTTAGCCTATGAAGAAGCCGAATCAGACATTATGAAACGTCAACCAAGGAATCCTTTTTGTGATAAACTCGTCAACGAAAGGTAAAGTTTAAAAAACCGCCATCAATTCAAAAACTCTGATAATAAAAAGTATATTCAAAATATTTAAAAAAAAAAAAAAAATAAGCAGATATAAAACAAAATTAAAAAATATATAAGAAAAGTGATTTTTTTTTTTTTATTTTTAACTTCTTTGGGAAATTTCTATGATCGACAAATTATGTTTTTTTTTTTTTATTTCCTTTTTAATTTGTTTTTGTATTTGTTTTATTTTGTTTTTCTCTATTTCAATTAAGCTACCTATATATTTTGAGATTTTTTATATTTCTCTATTTCAATGTTGTATACAAGGTGAAATTGATTATTAATTATAATTTTTTTTTACTTTTCATTATCAAAGTAAAAAAAAAAATTACGAGAAATTAAGAATAAAATTTTAGTGCTTCAAAGAGAATGCAATATTTTTGTAGAATTTTAAAATTCTTGTAAATTTTTTATTTAATTTTTATTAGTTATGTTTTTCTTAATTAACATTTCTTTTAATTATATTATTAAATCTTTCTGAATGCAATCAAATAATTAATTTTCTATATATATTTTTAATAGTAATAAAAAAATATATAATAAAAGCATATTAAAATCGTTTTTAAGCTAGAAGATGCACTTCTATTGCCAGATATCAAATGCAAAATATTATTTATTTGTTTATTTATTTATTTTTCTTTTGCATATTTTAATTAAAGAAAAAATTCCTTAAAAATTATAATTATTATATTAGTAACAGAAATAAGATTATGAATATTCGATTAATAATATTTGTTTTAAAATTAAAAACAAAATAGCAGCATTATGGTTAAAGCAATCTTATTTTTGAATTTTGTTTTTGGATTGAATGAAACCCAATTAAATAAATATTAAATTTTTTTTTATATTTTTGATTCATGTAATAATTTCAAAAAAAAAATATATATAAATTACTTTCTTTACAATTTTTTTTTTTCAAAGAATTATTAAGCGATCATAATTTTCTGCATTTCTAGTTATACAAAATTGTAAAAAAGAATATTTACAATTCGCTTAAAAATTTCCAATGCGCTTCATTTTGAAGACTTAAAATGGAATCGATTATGTACAAAATATTATTTAAAATATGTAATATTGTACATTTAATTGAAAATCTTTGTTTTTGTTTTTCTCTTATTATACGATTTATTCGAAATATTAAAATAAAATGCATGAAAATTTGCAGTTTATATTATATCGAATGCATGATAGAATATACTTAACATACTCAAGTATATTTTATTTATTTATTTTTTTTTTAAAGTGATTTCATATAATACCATTTCGGTATTTTATATAATCTTTGATAATGATTATGTTTTCTGAAATTTAAAAATTATTTAATTAATAAAATATTAAAAGAACTTATTCTATGTTACATTTTAAAATTCACCTTGTATACCTTACTAAAAATCAACGATCGATTTATTTTAAGAAAAAGCAAAGTACTATTTATAAGCATTTAAAACATATAAAATATAATAAAATTTTTTTTTTATATATAAAAATATTTAAAATACACATTTCTTGCTCCCTTTTATTATATTTACATATATAAAATATATAATATATATACATATTTTTTTTTTCGTTCCTTTTAATAAATCTTTTTTATATTTTAATACATTTTCTTTTCAATAAATAAATATACATATATTATTTATTAAATATATATATTTATATTTATTTTTTTTTTCTAATACAAATTCAATATTTACAATTTTAGAGAGTACAATTTTTAATTATTATTTTTTATTATATATAAATATTTTTCCTTGTACTTTGCCCGATAAATTCAATTATTATATACATAATATATTTTTTAAATTATTATTCAATTTATACTTTCTTTTTTTTCCAATTTTTTTCATAATTTTTGTTCTTATGTACTTAAAAAAAAAAAAAAAAGTGTGTGAAACTTTTAATTCTTTAAAGTTTTTTATTAATAATTTTTTTTTTTTTTTGATATTTATTATACAAGTATACATAAAATTATTAATTTGTTTTTTTTTTTGGTATTTTATACCTAATATATTTATATATTTTCATTTAAGTATTTCCGCTGATGCCTTTTTTCTTATAATACAAGAAATAATATAAAAACTTTTTCCTTATAATATATTCAGTATTATGCATCTTTGCCTTGTATTCAAAACTTTTCGTACAAAATGTTATATAAATACGACAAAATAAATATATATATACATATATAGTTATTTTTTTTTTATAATTATTGTTTTCCTTTTTGTTTTTTTTTCTTATTATTTATTTTTAATTTAAATATTTTTTTGTTTTATTCTTAATTAATTAAAAACTGTTATCTACCATTATTTGTCCTGCTATATCTGAATTATCTGGTGTTATATTGGACGCGTGTTGTAAACTGTGGTATAATATAATTTAATCTAATATTTTTAATTATAATCTATATAGAAAAAAAAAAAATAGTATTCTATCAAAAAAAGGATTCGGTTGAAAATATGCATATAGATATTTGATAAAAGAAAAAAAAAAATATTAAAATAAATAATTTAAATTTATATATTTGAATCGTTGTGTTTTAATTATAATTATATATACTCATGTTATAATATACTCTTAACTTCTTTATATATTACATAAATATATCTATATATATACTTTATAAATACGTTATAATATGTAATGAATATACAGATATATATTTATATATTTATATATATACGTTGTCATATAATGTACTCGTATCCTATATGGAATGAAAGGTTTTTTTTTTTTTTTGACGTATTTACTATAATATAAAATTTATTTTTTCCTATTTTTTTTTTTTTTTAAATAAATAAGTAAACATAATAGCTTTTTTACATATTTATTTGCTTTTGTTTTATTGTTTAATTTTTCATTATAATTTTATTTATTAAAATTACATACAAATTTTGTTTTTATTTTTAGATTAAAAGAAGTAAAAATTTTTGAACTGTTTAAAAAAAGAAAAATAAGAAATCACAAAATTACTGAAAATGGATGATTTTTATAATTTCTGTTAAAGAAAAATGGAATAGAATAACAAAAAATGACTTCTTTATCCAATTTAGAAGTTTATTTCTAAAATTTTGTACTGCCAATATTTTTACTGAATGAATAACGCAAAAGAATTTTAATTAGTAAAATAAAAATTGTTTTTCTTTTATTATAAAAATCTAAAATTATTTAATGAAATACATGTGAATTATTAAAAATTTTTTAAATTGAAAAACAAAATCTCACTAATATTGTTAGTAACAAGAATTTTTTTAATATCTTGAATTAACTCGATCTTTCAGAATTTCCATTTAATATGAAAAAATAAATAATTACAGAAAAATATTAAAAATGTAAATTTAATATTTATAAAGTTCAATCATTTTTAAAATTATTTTGTTTTACTTAAATTTTACAGTTCAAAAATTTTTATTTAATTTTACTTTATTTTCATGATTGCTATGGTAAAAGGATAGTAATTCTTAGTTTATATAAGTATTATTTGCTAATTTTAAAAATCGTGTGATAAAAAAATAAGATGCGTTTTGTTTTTCTAAATTAATTTAAAAAAAAAATTTTACGTATAATATTTTTTTATTTATTAGTTTTTTTTTTCAAATTATTTTCAACATATTGGAATAATAAATAAGTTATTTTCTAATATATACCCTTAATATATTAAGTAATTGCATTGAATTGATTTCCAAAAAAAAAATATTTAAATACAAAATAATTTATTTTTGTTGTTTTGCTTTACCTTAAGTTTTTAATTTTCCTTAAAATACATATAATTAGTAGCTAAAATACTTTATACAATTTATGCTCTAGCAAATATTTCGTTTAACTCAATAATAATATTCTTTTTTATATATAAAAATTTTTTAACTTGATTTTTAACACGTTTTTTTTTTTAATACAATTATTATAATTATACTTATTATAATTTATACATACTTAGTTTTTTTTATATATTTTCTTTATAATAATGTATAAGAAAAGTTTTTTTTTTGTTAAAAAAAGAAAATAGATCAAAAAATATTTGCATAAGGTAAGTCGAGAAATTTAAGTTTTTTTGAAAATCATTTCAAAAGTAAACTATAAATTTTATTTTGAAAAAAGGAAAAATCGTTTAAAAATCAAATATGTATTTTATAAAATATAAACAAATTTACAAATGATTAATATCAAAGAAAAATTATGAATTAATTATAAAAAGATAGGGACAATTAATTTCTAATTATTTAATTTTTTCTTTTTTGGAATAAAAGTGAAAATGTAGTGAATATATTATTGTATTATCTTATAATTTTCTTATATCTTATATAATTAAATTAATAAAATGAATACAATTTACTTACATGCATATATAATATCAATATTTTACTAAATATTTAAAAAAATTTATATTTTTTTTTAGTTATTTAATATTTCTATAAGTTCACGTACAAAAATTTTATATTTAGTATAAATTGTAGATTTTTATTTATCATATGAATTTGTTTTTGTTTTTTAAACTATTATCTAATTTACAATGGAACGATTTATTATTGATATTCTATATCTGCTAGTGACTGAGATTGCAAAAACTTTCCTTTTTTTTATATATATATATATAAATCTTATATACTTATATAGAAATAACATTGATTTATCGTTTTAATATATCAAATGGGCATTTTTACAATTTATTCTTATTGCGATAATGAAAAAATAAAAAAAAAAAAATAATAAAAAATAAAATATACTACTTAAAATAATAAGATTATATAATATTCTATTTTGCTCATTTCCTTACTTCCATACCCTGCAACCCCACATCTTTTGTAATTGTAGAAAATTTATAGATATATATTTCAAAACGTCATAATATACGTATAACATATTATTATAATCAACATATAAAAATTTAATCTAAGGTCTCATTTACCATCACATATTTTCTTTAAATTTTAATTTTTAATTTTTTTTTTTCCATCAAA